CTGCCATTCTATGAGTCTGCTGTGTATCCCACTTCCCATGATGGATCGTTCTCTCCCTTTTTGATTCTATCAGTTAGTATTAGCAAACACTAGTCTTGTTTGTGTGATCCCTTTGACTCTTAGACCTATCGGTATAATCAATTGTGAACTGAAATTGATCACTTGGACTAGTGAGATGGCATTGCTACATGCCACCTTGATGGGATTGTATTGGAATCCCCTGGCACGTTTCTAACTCCACCATTTGGGGCAAGTCCGATTGAACATGAGTGACACTATGCCCGAGGGTTCCAGTGTCTCCACACTCTGCCTCACCCTTCTTTTCCATAGCCATCTTGGTGTGAAGTGGTATATTGTTCTGATTGTGATTCGCATTTCCCTAACAGCTAATGGTATTGAGCATTTTTTTACATGCTTCCTAGCCATGTGCAGTGTCTTCTTAGGAGAAAAGTCTATTACATGCCCTCTGTCCCTTTGTTGATTGTGTTGTCTTTTTGATTGCTGAGTTCTAAGAGTTCTTTGTATACAAGTATTCTGGTCATTAGACTTGTATCACATAAACAATTGTGAATGTTTTCTCCCACTCTGCACATTGTCTTTTCACTTTCTCATCATTTAGCATGCAGAAGCTTCTAATTTTTGATGCGATCCAGTTTATCTGCTTTTTCTGTTGTTGCTTTTGTTACCATATCTAACATCTGTTACTTAATCCAGGGCCATGCTGATGTACAGCTGTGTTTCCATTTGAGTTTCATTGCTTTAGCTCTTAAATTTAGGTCTTTGGTCCTCCTTTTTGAATTGTTGTTTGTTTATGTGGTAGGGGTCCAGATTCAATCTTAGATATGCAATTGTGTCAACATCACTCTTGGCAAGACTTTTTTTTTTTTTTTTAAGATTTATTTATTTATTTGAAAGGCAGAGTGATAGAGAGAGAGAAGGAGTGACAGAGAGAGAATTTCCATCTTTGGTTCACTCCCCAAATGGCCAAAATGGCCAGGGCTAGGCCAGGCCGAAGTCAGGGGCTCAAGGACTTAGGCCCTCTTCTGCTGCCTTTCCAGGTACATTAACAGAGAAATGGATCAGACGTGGAGCAGCCCAGACTTGAACTGGCACCCATATGAGATGCCAGTGCTGCTGGCAGTGGATTAACCAGCTATGCCACAGTACTGGCCCCTACAGGGCTTTTATTTTCCCATTGAATGTTCTTAACACCCCTTCCATAAGTCAGCTGCTTATCTTTAGGCTTCTCATTCTCTTCTGTGGATCAATGTATCTGTCTTCACACCAATGTCACACTGACCTGATTTCTGTTGCATTGCGGTAAGTTTTAAAACCTGAACTGTGGGCCGGCGCCGCGGCTCACTAGGCTAATCCTCCGCCTGCGGCACTGGCACTCCGAGTTCTAGTCCCAGTTGGGGTGCCGGTTCTGTCCCGGTTGCTCCTATTCCAGTCCAGCTCTCTGCTGTGGCCCGGGAAGGCAGTGGAGGATGGCCCAAGTGCCTGGGCCCTGCACCCGCATGGGATACCAGGAGGAAGCACCTGGCTCCTGGCTTCGGAACAGCACAGTGCGCGGCCGTAGTGGCCATTTGGGGGGTGAACCAACAGAAGGAAGACCTTTCTCTCTCTCTCTCTCTCTCTCTCTCTCTCTCTCTCACTGTCTAACTCTGCCTGTCAAGAAAAACAAACAAAAACAAAAAAACCTGAAGTGTGAGTCTTCCAACTTTGTTCTTTTTCAAGATTGTTTTGGCTCTTTGAGGTCCCTTACATTTCTGTGTGAGTTTTGGGATCAGTTCGTTTGTCTCTGTAAAAGTGGCAGTTAGGATTTTAATAGAATTCTGATAGCACTGAATCTGTAGATCAGTTAGGGAGAACTGCCATCTAAGCAACAGTGAGGCTTCAAATCCATGAAATCTTTCCATTTATTCTGTTCAGATATTAGTGAACAGTGTTATTATAGTTTTAGTATACACGTTTTACACTTCTTTGGTTAAATTTATTCCTGATCATTTTATTCTTTTGATGCTATTTTAAACGGATTTTTCCCTTAGTGTAATTTTTATATTATTCACTGCCAAAGTACAGCAGTCCTGCTGATTGACTTTTATGTGTTGATTTTGTATCCTTCAGCTTTGCTGAAGCCATTTACTAGCTCTAATAATCTTCTTGTGAACTCTTAAAGAATTTTCTTTGTATATGGTCATGACATCTGCAAAAAAAGGTAGTTTACTTCTTTCTCCTCAGTGTAGACGCCTTTTAATTCTTCTCTTGTCTGAGTGCCATGGCTAGAACCTCCAGTACATTGTTGAACGGAAATAGCGAGAGTAGACATTTTTGTCTTTTTTTCCATTTTAGCCAGAGTGTGCAGTCTTTTGTCACTGAGCTGTGGGTTTTTCCTAGGTGCCTCCCCATTTATTAGAATAATGACGTCCCCTTCTATTCCTAAGTCTGTATTTATATCATAATGTTTGGATACAAGAGTGTCTGTTGTCTTTAAAACCATCTTGACTGTGCCTGGCCAGTGGCCCCTGCTATGCGTGTGGCACTTTGAGGTGCACCTGTGGGAGGCATCCCCGGGAACTCTCACCTTCCTGCCCTGACTCCCTCGCCTGTCTGGCCTCCTGCAGAGCTGAGGTGCGGAGAGTGTGGGTCGTGGCCTTTTGCCCGTCTTCTGCCGGGACGATAGGGAGTATTGCCAGCTTCCTTCAGAAGCTTCCTTGCTGCAGCCGGTAGTGCCCTGCTCATGGCGCTTGTGTGTGGAAAGGCAGCCGCTCCCTTAACTGCCCTGTCCTCATCGCACTCAGGTACAGATGCTACTTCGTGGGGCGTGCCACAGCCACACAAAGGGCTGCCGATGCCAGCTGTTTCCTCCTAGCACTCTCCCCATCCCTGGCGCCTGTTACACAGACTGTCTACCCCACCCTGCTCCCCTGCGGAAATGTGCACATTTGGGCCTTCTGGAGCTGGCCCCTGACTGTCCCCAGGGACAGCTGGCTCCCCTCGGGCATTCTAGAGAGCAGCTGCTTGAGCTTCTCATGGCCTCCCATTAGCAACCACTTGTTGGTGGATGGCCCCTCTGATGGACCCAGCTGGGGCAGCAGAAGGGACTCCCTGGCCTTTCAGTAGCTATAATTAATTCCAGCCAAACACATTGATTTCTGTTCTTTAGCTCTGTAAAAAGCTAATTGCACGGAAGCCATTAGGTTCCTGAGCAGTTACCTCAACCACACGCCCTGTGATGCACCTCGGTACAGGAATGCAGGACACTCCGCTCCTCTCCCAGAATGTTTTAGTAAACACTTGTCCAGGATCAGCCCTTCCCACTCATGTTGCTCAGGAGGCCTCTCTCTTCTCTAAGGCATTTATTTCATCCCCAAGTCTAGACCAGGAATGTAGTTAAAACAAATGAACCAGGAGCCAGCGTGTGGTACAGCAGGTTAAGTTGCACCTTGGGATGCCAGCATCCCATATTAGTGTCGGTTCAAATCCCGGTTGCTCTGCTTCTTATCCAACTCCCTGCTAATGCTCCTGGGAAAGCAGCAGCAGTTGGCCCAAGTGCTTGGACCCCTGCCATCTCCCTGGGAGACCCCGAAGGAGTTCTTGGTGCCTACCTGAACCTGGCCCAGCCCCCAGCTGTTGCACCTATTTCTGGAGTGAACCAGCTGATGGAAGATATTTCTGTCCATCTATCTCTCCGTTGCTCTAACTTTCAAATAAATAAATAAATAAATACAAAGAGAGGGAGAGAAAAAATGATCCTGTAAAGTTAAATCAGAACCTGCTATGACCTGGATGCTTGTATTCCCTCCACTCCACCCCATTCATATGTTGAAATCTCAGTGCCAAGGTGATAGTATGTGAGGTGCCTAGGTTGGAGTGGGAGGAGTCCACAAGAGAGGCCCCAGGGAGCTCCCTGAAATAAAAACACAGGGCCTTCTCCAGACGCCAGATTCACCTTGATCTTAGAATTCCCAGTCTTCAAAACCATGAAAAATAAGTTTTTGTCACGTACAGGCCACACTGTCTGTGGTATTTTGTTTTGGTAGCCCAGGAGCATTCTGGAAAAGCACAGATGGAAGCCTCCACGTCATCTCCCCTGACGTCTGCACAGCCCCTTGCTCATCGAACCTTCTGGTGAAGGCGCTTCTGAGTGCTTTCCTACACTTACCCTCCCCTGCTGCACTCCAGTTCTCCTGCCCACTTTATTTTCCTCCAAACCACAGATCCCCCGAGAATGACGTCTCACAGCTGTTCCCAGTGCCTGGCACATACTAAGCACTTGACATGCCTGGTGAACTAATGAGTCTTGTCTGCAGTTCTGCAAATGAGCAACCCCAGGGCTGAGAGAGAGTAAGAATGTGCCCCCCACCCAGGGCGTGGCCGTGACCTCTGGAGCGTCCCTGCCCGGCCTGTCTCTGCGTTGGCTGCCTTAGGCCCCCTGTGGGAAGGCTGCTAAGCAGGAATGCTGTCCATTCTTAGTTTCTGCAGCGTCTCCTTCCTTGGTGCCCCAAGAAGGTCCAGACGGTTCTGCAGGGGGAAGTTCCTGACCAGGTGTGATCAGTGTCCATTTGGAGGGGCCTGAGTTAACAAAAGATGTCTCTGGGAAGAGTTTTGCAGCCGTGCCTCCCTCAGGGACTGGCTTGCTTCAGGCACTTGGGGCTCCCGTGGTCACCCCATCACTTGTCAGCCCTGCCAGTGCTTTACTTTTGTTCTTTACTACATATTCTTTACTACGTATTCTCTCCTTCCCTTGGCCTGACCAGGAATTTAATTCAGGTCTAGGGGGTTGTTCACTTTAGGAAGAACTATTTTAGGGATAAAGTTCCCAGTGAAGTTCTCACTGGCTTATTTTTGTTTCTACTCTGAAGTCATTTCAATAAAAACAGAAATCATCTGCCCCACAGAGGAGGCCCCCTCTGTGGTGCTGTACCCTGAGGAATTCCCCAACGGGAGTTTCTCAGCTTTTCTTCCTACAGTCAGCTTTGTGCTCTTTTTCTCTCCAGGTTGTTTCGACGCTGCTCATAAATATAATCCCAGAGGACCACATCCCACTGAACTTATCTGGGAAGGCAAAGATCAGCGGGAAAGCCTGGGTTAAGGAAACTCCTCGACCTGTTCCCAATTTTGACCCCAACTCGATGTGTGAGTCCCAGGTATGGCCAGCCGGCTGGATGCATTGGAGACTTCTAGCCCCAGGGTTAGACAGGGACCTACTCGCAGAAATAGGTGCAGTTCCTCAAAAGGGGAGGAGCTGTGCCCAAGTGGGTCTGAGCTTTTGTTTCGGCAAAAGTCAGGGTTGATCTGTAGCGTTTGAAACTCACAGCTGGTTTGGGAAGCTGCGAGTTTTCTTTAGCAGAAAGTGGGAGTTGATTTTGCAGGCCTTGGAAAAGCAGAGCACATATTTTCCTTCCAGACAATGGTATGACGCAAGATAACTGAACTGCTACAAGGTCACACGCATGGCAGCTCCAAGCTTGGGAACCGGGCCCAGGGTAGTGGAACCCAGGTGCTGTGAGGCTGCAGTGGAGCAGCCCACCCTGGAGGTTTCTAAGGCCTCTGTGTTCTCAGTGGGGGGCAGCCTCAGGTTCCCAGCTCGCAGGGTCTTAGTAAGTACCTGAGGCTGTAGCTGTGTTGTCCTCTGTTAGCAGGTGCTTGGCCTGTGCTTATTATGTAGCTTGAGATTCTTTTCATTAGCTGTAACCCAACTCTTTGAAAGTACACTTGCAGGCTTTAGAGGTTGTTAGAAAGGTTTTGTCCCTACTCCCCAGGTGCAAGGAGGGAGTACCTAGGCCCAGGTCATAATTATGAAGTTGAAGCTCTAGGTGTTCTCATTTCTAGTCACAAGGTCTTTGTCAAGGGTACTCGCTCACTATGGGTGAATGGGGGGAGCAGGGGAACATATAAACATCCTGGTAAGAGAGAGATGCTTACAAAGGAAAGAATGAAAGCTGTTAGTCTGTGTGTGCTCACCTGCTTTATTTACAAGCTATAGCTATATTACCTTCATGTATACCCTGCTTGTTTCGATGAAGGATTGAAGGCAGGCCGCAGGAGAGGGACACACACAATGAGGTTAATGCATATCGAATCAAGGAGAATGGTATGCTTCCCCCGGAGGCGTCCCCTGCAACCCGGCCTCAGTGGCTTTTCCCTGCACAGGTGATCATCAAGGAAGGGGAGCTGCTCTGCGGAGTGCTGGACAAGGCACACTACGGGAGCTCTGCCTTCGGCCTGGTGCACTGCTGCTATGAGATCTACGGGGGCGAGACCAGCGGCAAGGTCCTCACCTGCCTGGCTCGCCTCTTTACCGCCTACCTGCAGCTCTACAGGGGCTTCACCTTGGGTGAGTTCCCTGGCCGCCCGGAGCAGTGGCCTGGCCCCGCCTCTGGGGACCACATGGCCACTGGGCTGTCACCCTTGGGAGGACTGCCATTGCTCCTTCTCCACGCACATCCTCACCTGCTGGCAGGCCTCACTCCCTCTTGGTGCTATGTGCCCCTCCCCACCCAGTAGGTGTTCCTTGCCCCTTAACAGCCTACAGTGACACCACCCCCCCCCCCCGCCCTTTTCCATTTGACCCTCTCCTAATCTCACCCTTTACAGTTTCTGGCCCTGAGACTGGTTTCTCACACTCATGCACACCCTCATTCTCTCCTGCAAGTGCCCTCCAGAATTCCCTGGGTCCTCCGCACTCCACACGGGGGTCTCCCCGTGGTCAGAAGTGCTGAAAACACCCCTCAGAGGCAGAACTGTTGGTCTGATTCTAAGACGGGCAGAGGGACCACTCTCTGAAAAATGAGCACTCGCTGTTTCAGCAAACCAGCTTTGATACAGAAAACAAGTGTGCCATTTGCTTCCATGCATGGAGCGGGACTGCCGGCAGGAGAGCTGCCCAAGGACCCAGCCATGGGCTGAGCTCATTCAGGCTGGTGCGGCTGTGCATACAGGGAGCAGAGTCCAGGCCTTCTGCAGTGGTCTCGGGAGGATGCCAGGAGGGGCTGCGTGTTGAGCTCATACCACGGCACTTGTCAGGACTGTCTAGTGGGTGATGCCAGTGATGGTGGTAGTAAAATCCTGTGTGCTTGCGGGCCTGCCACAGTCAGTCTGTTCCCTGGGCTGCAGTGGGGTCTGCATTACACGTGTCCTACTTTGTAACTATCTAATTTATTTAATTATTGGAAAATATTTCTTAAATACAGACCTAAAGAGAACTTACAGTCCCCCAACATCGTTTGCCAAAGAAAACTGCTAGTATCAGTTTGATGTGTGTCTTTCTAGACTTTCATATTATAGATATATTGAGAAAAAATGAAGTCCTTTACTGCATGCTGTTTGATCATCTGTCCCCTCCTCCCCCATCTCCAGATGTATTTAGAAATGTTCCCCAGGATCATAATATAAATCTACAGCCTCATGTCTGGCAGCTACAGATTATTCCACCAGTATAGATGTACTGTGGCTTATTCAACCAGTTCCTGTAATTAAACATTTAGGCTGTTTCCAGGTTTTCATTCCAGTATCATTGAGACAAGCACCCTTGAACAAACAGCTTGTATAGTCAGTTATTTTACCAAACTAAGGATTATAAATGACTGAGACCTTTTCCCTCCCCCTCCTAATTCTTGCACTGGGCCTGGGTGGCCGATGGAGGCGCCTGTGTCCAGGCCCTTGCACTTCCAGTTGGAAACCCGACCAGGAGCCTCACCCCCAGGGCAGTGGCAGACAGTGATGTGTGATGACTAAGAACATCACACTCTTAAAATGTAAATGTTTCAAGCAGTTGGAATAAGCACAAGCAAAAGTTTGGGGAGGTTTAAAAATGAAACATAGAGGAAGATTCCACACCCAGCTCATGATGAGAACCAAACTTTACAAACAAGCCAAGCCTGCAGCTCTGCTTAAAAACAGAGGTTGGCCCCCTGAGCCCAAAGGGAGTCCAGATGCTGCAAGGCTGAGAGAGGAGAGGGAGAGAGAGAGCATGGCTGAGCTGGGAGTTGGGCTCCGAGGGGAGGACCGGCTGGAGAGGTTGAGTTCCCTCCAGCCCTTCTCAGCCAGGGCCTAGTGCAGGGCGCTGGCCGCAGGGGAGGGCCCACTTTTGTGGAATATCTCTTCCCCCTGTGCTCACACTGGTTCTTCAGAAGTCTTCTAGTTTCCAAGACGACACATTGGGATCTCCAGGAGTTTTAGCCCCGGCCTTTGAACAGTACAGCCAGCTGTGTTCTTCCCACTCAGGTCTTGGCTGAGGACTCGCGAGATCACGCGCAGAGGTGAAGTAGGAGGACATACTGTGCCCAGCAGGTGGAGTTCCTCAGCCTGTGAGCCAGGACGGGCCTTCCTGAAGTGACCCAGGCCCCAGCGTGTCTGTGCCTGGGCTCGATTGGCCTCTGGAACACACAGTTTCTGGGAGCCAACGCCAGGATGCTCTCCCTCTCTTGCCCTAAACTCAGCTTTTTATCCAGAATCCTTTACTTTTCCCTCTCCCATTCTTCCAACGCATACTTACTGAATGGAGTAGACAGGACAGCTGGTGGCTAGGAGCATAAGTTTGGAACACGGGCCTAGGTTTGCCTTCTACCTGTGCAACCTTGGGCAAGTAGCTCAACGCTGAGCGTTAGTTTTATTTTCTGTGAAATGGAGATTACAGTGTTAGGGGCCGTGGCTCAGCCCACCAGCTGCAGTAGCATTCTGTTAGTAATGATGTCATTTCATCAGCGTGGTTCAAGTGCTTCCTGTGTCTGCGACCCTGTGCCGACTGCCGTGCCATCGTCGAGTTGGCATTCCAGTGAGAAGTCAGGCCTGGTTCCCTCTGAGCTTGTCTGGTTCACTTCACAGGTGTGGAAGATATTTTGGTTAAGCCGAAGGCAGACGTCAGGAGACACAGGATCATTGAAGAATCCACCCAGTGTGGGTCCCGGGTAAGGAGGTGCTGAGGCCGTGCCTACTGCCGAGTGGAAGCCCGCCTCCTGGCTTGGCTGCAGCCCCCACCAGACATGTTCCTTTCGTCGTTCTAGGCCGTCAGGGCTGCACTCAACCTGCCAGAAGCCGCGTCGTGCGATGAGATCCGAGAGAAATGGCAGGATGCCCATCTGGGCAAGGACCAGAGGGACTTTAACATGATTGATCTGAAGTTCAAGGAGGAAGTGAACCATTACAGCAATGAGATTAACAAGGTTAGCCCAGCAGCGCATGCACTTATCCCCACCATTTTCAATGCTCATTTTTAAAAAATTACATTTGGGTTGTCACGTGGGGCCCTGCGGAGCGGTGTGGCTGTGGAGCAGTCTGATGCGGCGTGGGCTGGGCAGAAGCCGTCCCTTTCAGGAGCCTGAGCTCTCCTTCTCTCACCAGTTGGGGTCTGGAAAGGCTGTGATTAACACCGAAAGGGCATGCCGTGTGCTCTTTCACTCGTGATGTTTTTATCAGGGGGTCACAGCATTCAGTGGGAGGGAAGAAGGAAATCTTCCCTGTGGGCCTGCTGCAGGAGCAGGCTGTGGGGCCCAGGGTGGAGGTCTGGCTCCAGGTTGTGGCTCTGCCTCGTGCTTGCCTCGTGGCCCTGGGCTGGGGTCATCGCCAGCCTGTGCCTTGATGTCCAGACAGGCTTGCTGAGAGGGGCAGGAGCTAACGTGCCCAATGCCAAGGCAGCGACTGGCTGTTGAGAAAGGAAAGGGACATTTCTGCACAAGCCCTGACTCTTCTGCCCCAGAACTGAGACTCCCCGTCCTGTGACTGGGAGGAGCCAGCCTGGTCCTCTCCCTGCTTCCTGGGCCTTGGGGCTTAGTCTGAGGAGAAGGCAAGGCCAGCGCTCCAGGGAAGTCAGCATTGGTGGGGTCCTCTCGCCTGGCACTCAGCATCCCCTTAGGCTGCCAAGAAGACATACATCTTGCCAGAACAGGTGATGTCCTGGAGAGGTTTTGTTCAGAGGGAGCCTTCGCGGGGCTCCGCTTCCTGGGTTATAGAAATGGGGGTGGGGGAGTTGTCTTCAGCAGTGTCTCAGAATGGCTGCTTCGCCCTCCAGCTCTCCTGTTCCCAGCCAGGCTCTGCCCGCCCCATGTTAAGGTGCATGTCTGCAACCCCAGGCAGGGGCTTAAACAGACCCTGAGACCCTTCGCAGCCTCTCCCCAGGCTCACTCCCCACGGTCCCAGAGCCAAGGCGAGGCCCACACACCCTGCGGGGTAGCGTGCTGGTGAACTGGAGAGTGGTGTGGACATTGGTCATCTGCCGGCAGTGTGGGGGCCAGGCCAGGCTCTGCTGGGCCAGTTTGCAAGGGCGTCGCCTTACATGCTATTCTTACCCTGCTCCTTTTTAGAGACACAAACTGGATATGCAGGCTCTCAGCTTCTCATTTTCCTCCTCCTTTTTTGCTGCTCTGAGACCTTGGGGCTGGCTGAGTGTAGAAGTGCAGCACACGGCGGGGGGGGGGGGGGGGGGGGGCACTGGAACTCTCTGTAGAGGTTCTAGGGAAAAAAATTGATGGCAAGTGGGATTTGGCATTGATCTCTGGGAGGATATTCTGTTTTGGTGCTTGTGTGTCCTGGGCTTAACTTCTGAACCTAGCGGGGCCATCACTGACCGTTGTGTTGATTCCTCCTGCAGGCATGCATGCCTTTTGGCCTGCACAGACAGTTCCCCGAGAACAACTTGCAGATGATGGTGCAATCGGGAGCCAAAGGGTCGACTGTGAACACGATGCAGGTGTGAGCAGAGGTGGCTCAGCAGGCTCATGGGGGCCGGGGGGCTGCTGGCAGGCCACAGGTTTCAGGGTCGTTGGTGATTTCAAAAGGATCGACATTCTGTATAAAAGGTGGCAATACTGAAAACTGAAAAAGCATGTAGGAATCGCTGTGAAAGTAACCATTGTTAGCATGTCAGTGTTAGAGACAAATGTAAACATGAGTACATCTAGTGCATATTTATGAGGGCACTCAGAAAAGGCATGGAAAATAGAATTAAAATATGGCATCAATGTGAAAGACATGAAGTCTGTGCGTGTAACAGAGCTTCAGAAAGTTCATGAAAAATGCAAATAATGGAAAAACTGCATGGATTTCAATTTTTTTTAATGAACTTCATTTATTTTAATCTACTTAAAGAGTAACAGAGAGAGGGCCAGCAGGTAAAGCAGCTACCTTCAATGCCAGCATCCCATATGTGCACTGGTTTGTGTCCTAGCCGCTCCACTTCCGATCCAGCTCCCTGCTAAGGACCTGGGAAAGCAGTGGAAGACAGCCCAAGTATTTGAGCTCCTGCATCCATGTGTGAGACCCAGTTGAAGCTCTTTTGCTCCTGGATCCTGGCTCTGGCCTGGCCTTTGCAGCCATCTAGGGAGTGAACCAGCAGATGGAAGATTCTCTCTCTCTCTCTCTCTCTGTGTAGCTCTTTCAAATGAATAAATAAATCTCTAACAACAACAACAGAAAAAGAAATAGAGAATCTTCATCCAGTGATTCACTCTTCAAATACCCACAACAGCCAGGGCTGGGCTGAGCCAAAGCCAGAAGCCTGAAGCTCCATCCAGGTCTCCCACATGAGTGGCAGGGGCCCAAGCAATTGAGCAGTCATCTGCTGCCTCTCAGTATGCAATATCAAGAAGCTGGATTGGAAGCCAAAGTGCGGGGACTCAAACTGGCACTCCAAAATGGGATACTGGCATCCCAAGCAGCAACGTAATCTACTGTGCCACAACAGTGGGCAGGTTCACCTGATTGGACGGGTTCACCAAAACAAACTTTCCTTTTAATTCCATTTTTCCATGAACTTTTTGGTCTCTGCTTTGCCTTTCTTGAAGAGCAGACTGTCCCTTGTTGTCTGGCATGCACGGGGATCTCATGTCACCTTTGTGCCTCCTTCCCCCCAGATCTCATGCCTGCTGGGCCAGATCGAATTGGAAGGTCGGAGACCTCCGCTGATGGCATCTGGCAAGTCACTGCCCTGCTTCGAGCCTTACGAGTTCACCCCCAGAGCTGGCGGCTTTGTCACCGGGAGATTCCTCACTGGCATCAAGCCTCCCGTATGTATTTTGCTTTTCCCATTGACTTTTTCCTCCATCTCTAAGCTTAGTGGGAAGTGACCTGTGACGCCCACTGACTTAGCTGGAATGATCAAGTAATCAAGTGATAAATGCCAGGCCGTTTGCTACTTGCCCACTAGACCTGAGGGCCCATGAGACCTGGCGGTGTTGCGTTCACCGTTGTCACGTGAAAGCCTAGCACAGTGCTGGCACATGGTAGGTGCTCAGTGAATGTTTAAAAGATGGAGGAGGCTGGTCCCAGCTCCATCGTTTTCTGCTGTGCGGCCTCTCTGAACAGTTTCCACCTGCACATGAAGGCAATTAGAAAAAGGGTGCCACTTCCCAGCGTGTTCTCATTGCCAAAAGGAGAATCATGGAGAGCACAATTGCCCGTGCCCAGGTACCTCCCACAACTCCTTCAGGTCGGGGAATTGACTGGCTAGTTTTGCTTCATCAGTAACAGCAGCAAACTTCTCCTCTGAGAGAAGGGTTTCTCCTCATACTCGCCAGGAATGGCTTTCTGAATGTAGCACCTTTTGTCCTTGGCGTAGTGTGTCTCAGAGGGTGGCCCTGTGATCAGACGGCTGAGTGCAGGCTGTGAGAGCCACGGCTCCCGGCTGCTCCAGGGGTTGTTCATGGCCTCTGGCAAGGATCGCTGGGGAATCAGTGTAGATCAGAGTTGGTCAGGTTCTGACAGTGACTCCTTAGTAGATCAAGAAGTTATTGTAGTGAATAGAGTAGAGAGGTGAAGAAAACCAGAGTTTGTCCCACATGATAGGGAATGGCATAGTGCCATAAAGTTTGTATTTGAGCTGCATATCTTTATTATTATCTGACAGGTGGCAGGACGGAGATAGAGAAATTTTCCATCTGCTGGTTCACTGCCCAGAAGCCCACAATAGCCAGGGCTGGGCCAGGCCAAAGTCAGGAGCCTGGAACTCTGTCTGAATCTCCACATGGGTGGCAGAGACCCAAGTACTTGAGCCATCACCCTCTGCCTCCCAGTGTGCGCAATTGCAGGAGATAGAAATGGAAGCAAAGACTAGGCTTGAACCCAGCACTCCCACATGCAGTGCAGGCATCCCAAGAAACACTGACCCTGAGCCAGACACTTATTCCTGTTCCCTGTCTTTAGACTCATGTGAATATGTGTGTCTGTATTGGGCAAACACTGTGTACCTCTGTTAACACCACTGGAAGGACAGTGTGGGCTTGTCCAGGCAGTGGTGCTGTTTGGGAAATGGGGCATGGGGTAACATCCTGAGGCTGGCATGCCAGGATGCGTACTGACTCCTGTAGCTGGGAGCAGTTGCTCCTGACCCACTTGTCTGTCCTGTCTCAGGCAGGGAAGACAAAGAACCACAGGGGAGGGCAGAAGTCACTGGGGGCCATAGGAGCTGGCACAGCCCGGGTCCTGGGAGATCAGGGGAAGGCGCAGGAGGTGTTGCCCAGGCCCTGCAGGAAGCACACACGCTCGCTGCCGCCTCTGAGACCTGTCCCGCCCTCCCACAGGAGTTCTTCTTTCACTGCATGGCGGGGCGAGAGGGCCTGGTCGACACCGCTGTGAAAACCAGCCGCTCCGGCTATCTCCAAAGGTAAAAAGCACCCGGAAGTCTTGGCCCCTGGGGTGAGCCTCTGTCATCGTTCACTTTTAATTGACAATTCCTTGAGTGAAAAACATCTCTGGGTGGACTGAGATAAAGAAAGAAAAAATGAGTTACTCTTCCCTTTAGCAGGATAGGTGGAGCGTGAGCTCAGAAGCGCACGCAGGGGGCCCCTACACTCTGTGGCCCACCTTGTCCTGGGCAGGTGGACGGGATGGGGAAAGCTAAGGATGTAGGAAGAGGTCTCGGACAGTGGTGAGCTGGGTGCTGGGGGGAGGCCCAGCAGCCTGGGTCAGTGTGGGAGATTCCAGGCCTGGGGTCCCTGGCCGAGTCTAAAAGAGGTGTGACTGTCCCTCCTCTGTTCTCCGGGAGGAAAGGGAACAGCAGTCCCTATAACCAGCCTCACTGGGCAGGTCGGGGGAGGGGTTGGCATAAACCTGAAGAAGGCCAACTCCAGGGTGCCATCAGGACGGGGCAGAAGATCCCAGCATCCAGCCTGCCTCCCTTCAGACGATGTTTCTGTAATGGTTCCCCTTGAGCCCCAAGAACCTATGCTGTAGAAATGATGGTAGTGGGGTCCTTGGGGAGCCCCACGGACTCGCCAGTGAAGGGGCACACCCTCTCAGAGTCTGGCCTCCTGTTCCAGCTGCCTGTTTCCCAGTGCTGCGCACTTGGTTCCAGCACTCTCCCCCTCTGACTCCTAAGACATAGCCCCCGGGTGTTGGATGGATAGGAAAGGGTGGGTTTGGGGTAGACACACCTGGGTTGGGGGAGGCCTGTGAGGAGCCCAGCTGCAGGGCTACAGTGCCCTGGGGAGCTCAAATGCTCAGTGTGTCAGGGCCAGCTCTCCTTCTCTGTGGGCACAGGCCATGTGGCCAGTTCCCTGTGGGCAGGGGGTACACCTCCATCCCCCTCAAGTGGGTTATGAGTACATATGTAGTGTAGAAGAGACTAGAAAACAAATGGCCAAATTAGGTTTGGGAGATTCCATGTGGGTACAGGAGTTCCCAAGGCCCGTTGAAATCAGGTGGGCTGGAGGGGAGGGTGTTAGGGGTCCTGGTAGGAACAGAAGAGCAGCAGGTGTCGGAGCAGAGGCACGAACATCTGTGTGGTGCACCTGCCAGTGAGGAGCTGGTACAGGCTCATGAGCAGGCAGGGTACTAGGCAGGATTTCAGACAGCCTGGGTGGGAGAGGCCAGGATCATGGGTGACAGGCCGTCTCGAAGGTGGCAGTGGATAGTAGGAAGCAGATGTGGAGAAGGTGTGAGTGACTGGCTGAAGTGCAGCAGATGTTTCAGGCCTGCAGGGCCCCATGATGGCACAGGTGTGGGCAGCTACAGAGGAAAGAGGAAGTGGGTGGGCGTGAGGTGGCAGGAGCAGGACTTTCAAGTGGACATGTCAGCGAGCACTCAGAGGCAAGGCCAGAAGCCCAGTGGAAAGAAATGCAGTGAGGGCAGCTGCCCGAGCCTGGGAGGCCAGCGGAGCGGAGGGCTGAAGACCCCCAGGCCAATGGCAGAAGGGAAGCAGCTACGTGGTACCATCCTTTCCAGGCCCTGAGCCAGGCCAGCTCACAAAGAGCTCTGTCCTCAGAGCTGGGGGTGGGGGCAGGAGGTTAGGGGGAGATAGTGGCTTCTGGGAAATCCCCTCTTGAGTGGCAGGAGAAGAGACAAGCCTAGGGGCCACATTAAGGCAAAGGTTGAGAGAGGCAGCTGACCACCAGGAGAACCGAGGAGAAAGGCCGCTGGGTTGGGGAAATCACATCTGCATGTAGTTCTGATGCCCCTTGGGATCCTTGACCATCACTGGACTGAGAGTCTAAAAATGCCTGCCAGCTCCCTGCCTCACCCAACTTGTGGAGCTAAGGATGCTGGCTCAGGGAAGCTGCGCGTTGCACGAGTGAAGCGGCAGTAGTCCCAGCAGCGGGGGTAGGTGGCGGCCTGGTCTGGCAGTGGTAGCCACGCCTCTCAGCCTCACAGGCTGCAGCTTCCTCCAGAAGACTGTCAGGAAGCGCAGCCCCTGGCTGGTGAGGGTGCTGCAGCCCAAAGCCTGGGGCATTGGAGCCCGCTGTCTGGGAGTCTTGCTTGCCTGCAGAACAGCAGTCCCCTTTCTTCCCCACCACTGGCCCCAGCCCCTTCAGAGGCTGCCCTGGGAGGTCCAGGCCTGGCAGGTGCAGAGCTGATGGTCTCCTTGCAGGTGCATCATCAAGCACCTGGAAGGGCTGGTCGTCCAGTATGACCTGACGGTGCGCGACAGCGACGGCAGCGTGGTGCAGTTCCTGTACGGGGAGGACGGCCTGGACATCCCCAAGACGCAGTTCCTGCAGCCCAAGCAGTTCCCCTTCCTGGCCAGCAACTATGAGGTAGCATGCCAGACCCTCGGTGCCCATGCTCGGGACCTCCCACCCTGAAGTTAGAGACTTGTGGCCATTGAAGAGTAGAGCAGGAAGTGCCCCAAGCACTTGAGCCTCTCAAAGCCCCCTGTAGACTGTCATCACTCGAGCGGCAGAGGGCATGAGCACCTCTGGAACAGCACCTGTGCCGTGTGCTGGGCCCTAACCTGATGCATACAGCAAACACTGATTTCATCCTCACTGCAACCGAGCGCTGTAAATACCACTCTGCCCATTTCACAGCAGAGGCAACTGAGTGCCAGAGCTCAAACAGCCATCTGGGGAGAGGCGGATCCAGTGTTTGGACCCAGGCCCTTCTGGCGTGGTTTGTGATTGCAGGGCTTATTGCCATGGTAACGACAGCCAGCCATTTTGCAGATTGAGAAACAAACCAAGGTGACCTGTCCAAGGTCATCAAACTCATAGCAAAATTGAGGACTGTGCCCCAGTGCCGGGTCCTTTCCATTCTGGTGTGTGTCCCGGGGCCTTGGCTGTCACCCCTGCCTTGTCCTGTCTTCCCAGGACTTCCTCAGCTCCCAAGTTCAGTTTGCACAAAGCGAGGTCCCGTCAGAGGCATCACCAGGGCTCCGCCTGGGCTGCCTGGATCCCAGGACAATGTGTGACCTGGTCCTTCTGTCGCACTCTCATTTCTTTCTGTTTGTTCAGGTCATAACGAAATCGAAGCATCTCCATGAAGTTTTAGCCAAAGCAGATCCTAAGAAAGCTCTGCGCCACTTCCGAGCCATCAAAAAATGGCAAAGCAAGCATTCCGGCCCCCTGCTGAGGACCGGTGCCTTCCTGCGCTACTCTCAGAAAATCCAGGCGGCCGTGAAAGCCCAGAACCTCGAGGGCAAGAACCAGAACGGCCGCAGCCCGGAGACTCAGCAGGTGATGCAGAGGGGCTGGGTGTGAGGGCTCTTCCCTAACGTATGGGTTAATAGTGAAATCGGCTTTGCTCCCCATCAGGACACAGGGCACTCAACTGGCAATGGGAGGAGGGGACTTTTGCACAAGGAAGAGGGTGTGATTTGAGGTAACTTACGAGGGTTGGTGATTGGAGGCTGCTCACCACCCCAGATGTGAAGGAACAGGAAGTGGAGAGGGTGGCTTTGGGCAGAGGCCTCTGGACAGGAGCCCTGTTGGAGAAGGGTCCAGGACAAATGCCCGGCTTCACTCTCCTCCCTTCCCCTGTGCTGCCGGTGTTGCCCATCAGCTGAACCAACAGCCTGGGGCCGGAAACAGCCGAGCTCTTGAAGCACTCACTGGAGTAGCCTTGGGCGCACAGTGCATGTGAAGAGCCTGGATCCTGGGACGGACAGGTCCAGCACAGTCACCTGGCCTGTAACAACTGTCCAGGTGGGCCAAGGACAGTCCTGGCCTTGCATTTTGTCCCAGCAGCATCATTAATCTGAGTGTGAACAGTAGGTGGCATGGTCATTGCACTTGAGCGTGAATGGGCCAGGATGAAGAGCTGAGAGTCACACTCAGGCGGTGTGCCCCGGACACCTGAACTTTCTCCCTGTTCCGGACACCACGGTGGCTTTCTCACTGCAGCCAAGGTTCTGTCTTACTCTTTCCCCTGCTCTCACCTGCAGCCAGTGTTTCAATCTTCGGCCACTGATGTCCTGGGAGGAGCACTGGGTTCCTGCTGTCCTCCCGTGTAGCTGAGACCCACCCTTCTCTCCTTCCAGATGTTGCAGATGTGGTATGAGTTGGATGAGCAGAGCCGAAGGAAATACCAGAAGAAAGCAGCCCCTTGTCCTGACCCCAGCCTGTCAGTCTGGCGCCCAGACATCTACTTGGGGTCTGTGTCCGAAACATTTGAAAAAAAGGTTGATGACTACAGTCAGGAGTGGGCAGCTCAAGCAGAGACAAGTTATGAGAAATCGGAGCTTTCTCTGGACAGGTAATGCTATCAGTGTGTTGCGTGGCCTGTGCAGGGGTCGTATCTACCTTGCGGCTCCTTCCCTACCCTCTGCTGAAGAAGAAGATGGCCTCCTGGTCTGAGACACCAGCAGGAGAGGGGTGGGGAGAGGGGGCACCTTGCAAGCCCTGAGGACTGCAGGCCAGCTGCGAGCGAGTAGGCAGGAGTGGACACCTGTTCCTCATCAGGGCCAAGGCGGGGAAGAGGCTCTGCTGGGATGGAGGCTGGCAGCCGTGGCCTCTCTCTCTTGAGTTTGATGGGCGTGGCTGAGGGAAGTCAAGGAATCTGGTCCCCATTTAGCTTCTGCCAGTTCTAGGACTCAGGGCCAGGTGTGGTAGACAAAGAAAAGGGTGAACATGAGCCCAGAAATCTTCACCGCTTGGGGCTCAGGGTGGACGCAGGAGCAAATGTGACGGACACAGCAGGAGCTTCCAGAGCTTCGGCCAGCCCGCTGGGCTCTGTGCTGCATGATCTGAGGACAACCCAGGGTCACTGGTGGGAATTTAAAGATGAGAGGGATTCTGTGCCTTGGAAAAACAAGCCCAGAAAGAGGCAGAGGTTTGGGTTTGTGGGTTTTGTGGCGTCGCCAGTGTGTGGTGTCTGCTCCCGAGCCGCATCGCCCTGCCATCTCCAGGTTGAGGACCCTGCTGCAGCTGAAGTGGCAGCGCTCCCTGTGCGACCCGGGCGAGGCCGTGGGCCTGCTGGCTGCCCAGAGCATCGGAGAGCCCTCCACACAGATGACCCTGAACACTTTCCACTTTGCTGGCAGAGGCGAGATGAACGTCACGCTGGGCATTCCAAGGTGTGGGGCCCGGGGGTGGGGAGGGGGGTGTGGGCTGGAATCTGTCCTAGCCCTCTCCCAGTGGAGAGTGAGAGCTGGAGAGAGTGATGGGCTCTCGTCATTGTGGGGATCAGGCCTGGAATTTCTGGAGCCCAGCCGGTGTCTGTGACCTGTCAAGATCTCCATGGTTGCTCTGCCAATGTCTGCCTGCATCAGTCACCCAGGAGGCTTGTGCACTTGTTGTCAACAAGCCCATGCAGGGCCACCTGGTTGCCCAACTCCAGGGGTGTCAGTTGACATGACCTGTGTGACCCTGGCCCGTCAATAAATGTATGCACAGCGCAGGATGGTGGCTGAGGAGGAGTCGGGGAGCAGACCCACTTGCATCCAGTCGCTGGCCTTGCCACTTCCACTGGACCCTGCACAGGGCCCCCATGGAGTGCAAGAGGCTGAGACACATTGTCCAGTCTGGGGGGGGCGTTTCTCATTCACTCAGTGAGCACTCAGAAAGCACCTGCTGTATACAGAGCACAAGTGATTGGAAACAAGAGTCAGGCAGCCTTGCCCTTGTGTTGGCACTCTGTGGAAGAGACTGTACATACAGGGGGCCCGGGATTCTCTGGTCCAGCTTATTCCCCTGTGAGGTCTCATAGCCTCTGGCGGCTCTCAGAGAATGCTGACATCGTCAGAAGCGCCACACAAGCAGGGGAGCTATTCCCTCTCATGGTCACTGTGCCCTTGTTCTGTGACAGGCTGAGGGAGATTCTTATGGTGGCCAGCGCCAACATCAAGACGCCCATGATGAGCGTGCCGGTGCTCAACACCAAGAAAGCCCTGAAGAGAGTGAAAAGCCTGAAGAAGCAGCTCACCAGGGTGTGCTTAGGGGAGGTAACTGTCTCTCTGCTGCCTGGGCTGCAGCCGCGGTAGGGGCGCGTTCCTGTCTCCCCACCCCCACCGGCCATGAAGAGCAGACTTCGCTGACTGCTCAGAATGGCTCAGATCCCACCAGCAAGGGAGACGCTGTGTCTGCCAGGTGCTGAGCAGCCGTGAATCAAGACGCTGTTAAGATAGTCATTAGTTCTGCAGGATCCTCGCTTGCCTGGGATATAGAATGCTGCTTGGGCTAGCTTGGTAGCTTACCGGCCCCCCGGGAGCCCACTCCCAGCAGGCGCAGGCCCTTGTCTGGAGGTGACCTGGGAGCCATGGCTCTGTACCCTCCCCGCCCTGCCCCACCAAGGTATCCTTGCCAGCAGAGCTTACTGTGTTTGGGATTGAGGTCCAGCTGCTGTCCCTCCAAATCCTAAATCTCCTGTAACCCACTTGTGGTGCCCAGTCACCTGGCACCTGGACAAGTCCGTTTCTCTCTGTCCATCTGGTTCTAGGTATTGCAAAAAGTTGACGTCCAGGAGTCCTTCTGTATGGGAGAAAAACAGAACAAATTCCGGGTGTACGAGGTGCGGTTTCAGTTCCTGCCACACGCTTATTACCAGCAGGAGAAGTGCCTGCGACCTGACGACATCCTGCACTTCATGGAAACAAGGTCAGGGCTCAGGCCACATTCGTCATTGACCTTGACCCAGAGCACCCTCCTGGCCGTGAGACTCCTTAGTGGTTGGGTCAAGCTGCCCGAGTGAGGCCTTCAAGGAAAGCATCCAGGAGAATGGGCCCTTGCAGCCCCATCTGGAAACCTCAGCTCTCAAGTGGCTTGTGGGTGTGACTTTGTTAGCCACACCTCACTCCCTGAACCCATTTCCCCTCTCAGATTGATGAGGCAAGATGGTTGTTGTCCTGTAAGCATTAAGAGGTGCAAGTACATGTTCAGCAGAGGGAAGGGAGCCCCATTGCAGCACCACTGCTGCGTGTGGAATTAATCGATCAGATGGGATTCCAGGCAGCGTAACGTTCTTAATGTGTTTACATTGTGGTTATCTGAGCCATGTGCTGAGGGTGTGCTGCTCTTCAACCCCAGTCTGTAAGCAGGCTGACCTCCAGCTTCCTGCAGAGGGAGCTGGAATGGAGGGAGAGCACCTGGTTTCCCCCATGTGCAAGTGACTTGGGCATTTGAAGCCATCAGGCACAATGCTGGGTACATAGGAGCAGGAGGGAGTTTTTTGGGACTGAGGCAAGCTAGGAAGGACCAGCAGAGTCTTCAGACTCTGCCCTCCGTGGGGGTGGGCAAACTCAAGCAGCTGCAGGTGCCAGTGAAGCAGGTTGGGGCTGAACTTGTCCCGTGTCCAGGAACACGGGCCAGAGTGGCCAGGTCTTCCCCTTGAAGGGAAGAATGCAGCAAGCTTCCCTTCTTCTTTTCTTTCTTTGGTGGTTTGGTTGCTTGCATTTGCTTTTTTGAAAAAGAAGTCCTGTAACTTTTAAGCGTCATCACTAATTCGTAGGTTTTTGGAAGTGCAGTAAAAGCACAGTAGCTCCCATTGATTGGTGGGGTCCTGCTGTGGGTCCTGCCCACTACCTGTAGTCCAGAGCGGCTATCGAGTCTTCCTGCGCTGAGTGCTGCCCGTTCAGGAGAGAGACTGTGCTGTCCTGAGCCTTCCTCTACCCTCCTGCCTGAAGACCTGGGATGTGGCCTGGCTTCGGGAGTGGCTGGCTGAGCAGGTGGTATTTAGGGTGCTGGAAATGGGGATGGCTGAGCTTGGGTGTAACTCAGCCCTCTTGGACAGGCTAGGTGGATCCTGCATCAGTGGCAGTAATCCTGAACGAAGCAGTGGCTGCCTGGGCCTTCGGGAGCACCCATGTTGGTGCCCTCCTGGCTTGAGACGGTTTGTTCCATCAGGCTGACCTCCACGCTCTCTGGACAAAACGACCAGAAAGCAGGACAGGCACCGGCCTGCCTGCTCGGTAATTAACCGCCAGGAGTGTAGCTCCCTGGCGCAGTGGATATTTTTGCTGGCCCAGCAGCCCTTTTCTGAGACGTGAGAATTAGCATCACATGGCCTCTTGAGTGGCCGAAAGCGAGTGGACTTGATGGCCTGCCCGTTTCTCTTCACCTGTGACTCAGGCAAGGTGGCATAGGGCGCACGCCAGGCTGGGCTCAGTTCTTTCCACTCACATTACCTCGTGGGATTGCAAATAATAAGTCACCTTTCTACATTTCTCCTAGTGAATGACAACCCTGGCTTGTGCCGAGCAGCGAAGTGCTCGTTCAGTGCTTAGTTGTGCTTTGCTCGTGCACTTGAAAAAGCCGTGATGAACAAAACCATGTGCATGCAGCTTTCAGTGGAAGTGGTCTGGGCTCCTGCCGCGGGGAGGGCCTGAGGTCTCAGGCAAGGTACAAGAAGGCATTCTGTAGGATGCGGGTGTGGTTTGGACTCCTGTGGTCGGGCCCAGGCAGCCAAGCAGTCACGGGAAGGCCTCTGCCAACCCACAGGAAATACCAGGGGAGAGGGGGTGCATTTTGCAAGAGCAGCCCTCCTGCAAGAAGCCATTTCTCCTGCCCGCCTCCCCTCTCCACACTTCCCACCTCCCCCTAATCTCTGCCACTCCATCTTTGGATGTCATCTGCACTGGTGCCTTTCAGTCAAAGGACTTGTGAATTTCTGGAAGGTGGCCCAGGGAGGGGCAGGAAAAAGAGCACAGAGCTAGGCACTGGGGGCCTAAGTTCCAGCGGTTCTGCTCCTCGGCCGTGAAGTGACTAAGCTGGCAGCGTCTGCAGAGCCAGCCTCTGTGGACCCAACTTCCGATGGCAGGGGGTGGAGCTGCCGCCAGGCTCTTTAGGAAACAGCCCTGAGGGTCGTGTTCTCTGTGCTTAATTATTTCTGTGGAGTGGGAGGTTTCTCTACCCGGTCCCTTTCAGCTGCTACATTCTGATAAATAGCATGACCTTCAGCAAGCAGTCCCTGGGGCCAGCAGTGCCCTTCTGGCAGAATCACAGAGGGCATGTTGTTTGCAACCCCAGGAGAACTCGCTCACCGGCTGGCCACATGCCTGCCGCCTACTGACCTGGGGCGTGGGGGTTACCCTACTCTTTTGCCTTCTCCCATGTTCTTACCACTCCTGGTCACCAGAAGAGGCAAGCAAGGTGGAGAGGATTCCCAGTTGGGGGAACCAGGGAAGGCTCCTTGGAGGAGTTACATCTGCACTTACAGCCTCAGAGGGCGGGTACCACGCCAGCAGGTAGAGATGGGCCAGGGAGTTTGCTGATAGAGCCAAGAGCTTGAGCAAAGTCCTAAAGGGTGCACGGGGGTTGGGTCAGGGCCACAGTTGGGGTTGAGGCTGGTTGTCAGATTCTGGAGGGAGGAGCCTCAGAGTTGTGACATCACACTTGAGATAGACCAGGGGCACCTGATAAGACAGGGCAGTGGCCCCCGACCCCCAGCAGAGGGACATGCCTATGGCCCCTGCTCCAACTCATTCCATCTCTGCTTTGCGCCAGCATCGCCTCGTGTGGGAGGTGAGAGTGGCCCCCCATTACAGTTGAGATCAGGGCCTTCTTTCCCTTTTGGGCACAACAGGGACTTGAGCCTGAGCCTGTCCTGTCAGAAACATCTCTCCCAGCCCCTGTTGTCTGGCCCTCATGTCCCTGTTCCATGTCGAGTGAGCAGGCTCTTGCTAGATGGGTATATGAGGACCATTTTCTCTGCCAGTGGCAGAAATCTACAAAATCACGTACAGGTCTTGAAAGTTAAATAAATAAGTAACAAGGGAGAGTAATATTCTTATGGTTTTAATTAGCAGACTAGCTTGCTAGTTCCCATCCCTAGCTCACTGAATAGCATTAAAATGTTTGCTCCTGGAGGTGTACATAGTTGACCCACTGCCTTTTCATAATGAGACCCAAAGTCCCATGAGGGCCAGGAGCCTGTCTTATCATTGCTTGTCCTCAGAGGTAGCACGGATGGGCCCAGGGTAGGTGCTCAGACAGCGTGGGAGGGAAGGAAGAAGGTTTGCATGGTGGAGGGAGGCAGGGAGGAGTTAGGAGGGTGGGGGCTGAGTGTGCAGGGGGCTGGTACTTCCTACAGTTAACAGCAGTGGAATTTGGTGAGGAAGAGGCAGGAGACTGTGTGAGAAAGGCAGCAGGGAGCTGCATCAAACTGTTGGGTCTCCCACACTGAAATCCCTTTCTGGAGATGCCGCAGGTGGCAGGCAGGGGAAGGTCTTTGTTCCAGGCCAGATTCCCCTCTCCTCCAGGCAGTTCTTCTGTCCAGGTTATGAGACAGCTGCAACGGCAGCAACAGCCATTATTTAACGAATACCCACTCTGCTGGACCCTGGGAAAAGTGTCAGACATGGGATGCTTGTTCCCTTAAAACAAGATTGCATGGTGTATATAGATGGCGACACTTCCCAGATGAAGGGGTTAAAGCCCAGGGAGCTGTTCAAGCCACACACTGTGGAGTAGAGGAGCGCAGGCTCATGCCAGGCCCGCAGGAACAGGCGAGAGGCAAAAGAGGGCAGGTAGGAGAGGCTGCACCTCCACCTGGGGGCCAGTCCCCTTAGAAACTGCTCAGCCTCCTGCCCCTGCAGCCAGGTTTGCTGGAGACACTGGGACTAAAAGGGGCTGTCTGACTTTCTTCTTGTTTTAGGTTCTTTAAACTTCTGATGGAATCCATCAAAAAGAAGAATAGCAAAGCCTCAGCTTTCAGAAGCGTGAACACTCGGAGAGCGACACAGCGGGATCTAGATGACTCTGAGGAGTCGGGGAGGAATCGGGTGAGTGTCTGGGAGACCCACAGGCAGACCCAGGACTGGAAGCATGGAAGCCTCACCTAGTCTTCCCTCTTGGGAAGGCTCTGTTCTCGCTGCTTCCTACGCCCCGTCCTGGGGTTGGCCTGTCCCTCTACTCACTCTAACCTGTATGTCTGGCTCAGAGGCAGCCAAGAAGCAACATTCATTCTTGGGTGCAGTAGGCCAGGCAGGAAAGCTGCCAGCCGACAGGATGTGGTCTGGCCTGGCTCGGGGCTCAGGACATCTGTCCCCCTGCTGTTCGAGCCCCTCTGCGAGGTTTTCATCCTGAGGCAGGGCTCGAAGTAACGGAGGCTGCTGAGCCTTTGAAAGTTCTTCTTCTGGTTTCAAGCCAGATGAACTGAGCCCCACAGAGCCCAGGCAGGGGCCAGAGAGGTGTTTTAAAGTAGGGAGGTTGCGGTAGTAGGCTAAGCCTCTGCCTGCAGTGCCTGCGTCACATTTGGGCACCCGTTCAAGTCTCTGTTGCTCTACTTCCCATCCAGCTCCCTGCTAATGGCCTGGAAAAGCAGTGGCAGATGGCCCCAGTGCTTGGATCCCTGCAGCCACGTGGGAGACCAGGAAAAAGTTCCTGGCTCCTGGCTTTGGATCGGCCCAGCTCCGGCTGTTGTAGCCATTTGAGGAGTGAACCAGTGGATGGAAGACCTCTTTGTCTGTCTCTGTCTCTTTAAGTCTGCCTTTCAAATTAATTAATTAATTAAAAAAAAAAAAAAAAGCAGGAGGTTGTCCTCAGTGATGAAAAACGAGGGGGCAGGGAGGCAAGAGTCCAGGAATAATGATGCCACTTCTGTCAGGGGAGCCGGGCACAGGCCAGACCTGAGCAGCAACCCAGGCCGGTCCCTGAGTGCCTTCTGAGCCAGCAGTTGACAGGCAGCCGATGTGGAGAGCCTGTTGGGTGGGGCACATGTGGAGTGGGATCGCCCCATCTGACCCTGTGGTCTCACCTGTGTCACCTTTCTTTCTGAGGTCAGAGAAAATGCCAGGTCTCTCCCACCCTGTGAGCTCACTAATAGGCTAGCTCAAGCACAAACAAGCAGGAGACTAAGTCTTTGGAAGGCTGCCTGATCTTGATTCTTCATCTACCCAAGAGATGGTAAGAAACTAGGAGCTAGGGTCAGAAGGAGAAAACTCACCATTCTACCTAGACAACCTTTCCTCCTCATCCCCACCTACGACTGGGTTTGGTCAAAAATAGTTGGAACAATATTTTACCCCATTTTTTTGTGACCTGGACCCTGGGACTTTTATTCTTTTTAAATTGTTTTTAAGGTTATTTACGTATTTGAAAGGCAGAGTTAGTGAGACAGAGAGATCTTCCATCCACTAGTTCACTCCCCAAATGACCACAACAGCTGGAGCTGAGCCAGGTCAAAGCCAGGAGTCTGGAACTCCATCTGAGTCTCCCACGTGGGTGTCAGGGACCCAGGGACTTGGGCCATCTTCCACTGCTTTCCCAGGCACATTGGCAGGGACTTGGATTGGAAGTGGAGCAGCTGGGACTAAAACTGGTGCCCGTATGGGATGCTGGCATTGCAGACACAGCTTAACCTACTGTGCCATGAGGCAGGCCCCTATTCTTTTAAATATTTAAAATTAAATACTTTGCATATGAAGATGAAGACTGAAAGGAAGGAGCTTGGAATCTGGGACTACACGGAGCAGGTGGGGGATGGAAGGGTCCATCGGCCAGGTGGGTGGGTGGATGAACGATGGCTGGGTTTGCGGGTGAACAGGTGGAGTCGCCATCCCCTGAGCACTAGGTGTTGAGCTAATCCTCTCCTCCCTGTGCCCTGACCACAGGGAGAGCAGGAAGGTGATGAGGAAGAGGACGGGCACATCGTGGATGCTGAAGCTGAGGAGGGGGACGCGGACGCGTCTGACGCCAAACGCAGGAAGAAGCAGGAGGAGGAGGTGAGCGGGCAGTGGCGGGGAGGAAGGCGCTGTAGCCACACCTCTCCTTCACCAACACACCTCAGGCATATGGGCCACACTCTGTGTTCTGCCGGAGCCCACCGGACACCTGAAGCAACACCTGCCTGCCCGAACACCTCTGCACTTAACCAGTGGGGAAGGACATGGGCCAGGAGCTGTCCCAGGGCTGCCCTTTGCATCCGGCTGTCCCTGGGCTGGAATCAGACTTGAAGGAAGTCAGCTGCCTCTACAGTGACATATAACCCTAAGCCCACCCCGAAATCCAGTCCCCTACTTTCAGAATCAATGCAAGGGCAAAGGGCAGGTTAGGGGGTGCTGAGGAAATTTGCAGGTACAAGGCCTGAAGTGAGTGAACGAGCCAGAGCAGGCTGGGTGGGGTGTGAGGGGGCACAGCAGCACTAGGGGCGCCATTCCCTCAGGAGGGGCTGTGGGGAGGAAGGAGGAAGGCGGCCTGGCCAGAGCAGAAAGGCCAGGAGTGTGGATAGGTGGGGCCCCCAGGAGAGGCCAGGCACAGGCTTTGCCCGGGAGCTTGTTCCACAGGCAATAGCCAAGTAGTCACAGGTAACACAGCCGAGCTCCGTTTCCTGCTAGGTCGATTATGAGAGTGAAGAAGAGGAGGAGAAGGAGGCAGAAGAGAATGAAGACGAGGATGCGCAGGAGGAAGGGAATTTCCAGAGTGAAGGCGCCCACAAGGCACAGGAGCCAGACAACGATGAGGTGGGCTCCGGTGCTGAGGACGACTCGCCCCAGAAAACCCCCCACAGCCAGGAGCCCCGGGGAGCCGAGTCCGTGGAGCGCCGGGTGCAGGCCGTGCGAGAGGCCCACGCGTTCGTAGAGGACTACCAGTACGACACCGAGGAGAGCCTGTGGTGCCAGGTCTGTTTGCTCGCAGCCGGCCCCAAGGGGAGGGGGGGCGCGAGGCAGGGCCTGGGGACAGCTGTGGACCCTCTGCTGCAAAGTGCAGCCCCACAATGTCTCTTTCAGACTCCTGATGAGCTGGTTGTCTCTGATTGTTCCAAGGTAGTCAGTGAGTGGGCGGGACCTGCCAGGCCCTATTGGTATTTTAAATGCAGCCTCTCATCTACCCTCTGCACACCAAACAGGTCAGCATACATCACAATCCTTGTTCCAGCCAGCAGGAGCCCATCAGCTCCTACCACATGGGCCACATTCTCCAAGGAATTTCGTGGTTCCCTCAGTCTGGATGGTTTGGGTGCCTCGATACCCACTTACCCTGTGCCTCCCTTTGATCCAGTTCAGGGGTCCGCAGTTGATAATGCAGATTACGAGACTCACTGAGGGCCGTGCACTGCGTGCAGTGCGCGTGGAAAGGACACTGGAGCAGTGTGGCGTGGGCTAGGAGCCTGTGTCGTCGCCGCTGGCTGTGAAGGTGCAGCTCTCAGCCCCGACGCCCTCAGCCAGGGCCTTGCGCGGTCTCCTGGGAAGCTGGCCATGGGGAGGGGGTCTCCCCGGCTCAGCTCTTGCTCCTCCTGCAGGTGACCCTGAAGCTTCCTCTGATGAAGATTAACTTTGACATGAGCTCCCTGGTGGTGTCCTTGGCCCACAGCGCCGTGGTCTACACAACCAAGGGCATCACTCGGTGCCTCCTGAACGAAACGACCAACAGGAAGAATGAGAAGGAGCTCGTGCTAAGCACAGAAGGGATCAACCTGCCAGAGCTGTTCAAGTACGCAGAGGTACGCATGTTGTCCCAGAGCCAGCCCTGCAGCCAGGGGCTGGCCCTTCCAGAACCGCCCGTGCCGCTGGCCCAGGTTCCCAAACCAAGCGTGCGTGCCCTCACTCGCCTGGAGACACATGGTGCACGTTGGCCTCGTGAGGGTTTGCCGTGCAGAAACCTAGACGGTCCCAAACCCAGAGTTTGCCAAAGCAGAATAGGCCAGGGTGCTCTACCGTTGATCTAGTGAAGGGAGCCCTGGGAGCTGAGTGGCCCAGCCCCACACACTGCTCATGGCACTGCTGTCCCACTTGCTCCTTTTGCCTGAGCTGTAGCCCCAAGTTCTCCCACTGAACTCAGACTTCTGGGTCCTTCCCAGAGGCTCTCAGGCCCTGAGTGTGAGGGTTTTCCTCCAAGAATGCTGAGCAGCAGGGCCCTCCAGCCCACTCTTCCCTGGTCCACGCCAAACTGGCACAGCTCCTCATGCCTCATGCACTTCAACCCCGGGTCCTCTGCTGCCTGGGGCCCCTCACCACACAGAGCTTCTCCCTGGTGCTTCCCCAGGGGCTGAGCACGCGCGCACGCCCTGCTCAGAGTCGGCTGCCCATCTGCACGGGTGACTCATGTCATACCCGAGGCAGGCTGCCTGTCTCTGCTTGCTCCTGTGGCGCATGACTTGCTGGGCTGCAGCTCTGCCAGCCATGGGGTACGGCCACCCAGACAGCCCAGCTGGAGCCGCAGGCCCCTGGTGAAGCCCCACAGAGCCTCGTGGGGCTGACGTGTCGCCCTGAAGAGCTGCACAACGTGTCTCTGCAGGAGGAGCCCCCGTAATTTCCAGGGGAGTCATCTTGCTAGTAAGGAAAAACAGGGAGACCCTGTAGGGTCTAAAGTGCACCCAGGTCCTCTCAGGCCTCCTATAATGACAGCAAGACAGAGCCGGGGGCCCATGGCCTTTCCTCCCGCTCATCCTGGGCTGCCTCTGCACATTTCGTCATCGGCTCTGCTCAGACGGAAGGGAGCAGAAGGCCTGGCCCCTAAAGACGGCCCTCCCTGCCTCCCCGCAGATTCTGGATCTGCGCCGCCTCTATTCCAATGACATCCATGCCATGGCCAACACGTACGGCATCGAGGCCGCGCTCCGTGTGATCGAGAAGGAGATCAAGGACGTGTTTGCCGTGTACGGTAAGAAGACGACACACTGAGGGCCTGGCGCTGGCCGGAGCACCCAGCAGCCCGGGTGAGAGGGTCAGGGCTGAGTCCATCTGGCAGTGAGGCAGGAACTGGACATGGGGGAGCGAGTGTGCGATTGGGAGGCTCTGCAGGAGTCTGACACCGCAAAGATGGCAGCCCCATCTCTGTGACCCCCAGGGCTTCTCCCCTGCCAGCCCCTGTGAGGAAGCTACTGTTGGATGACTCGGCCCCCTCCTGCCTTCGGGATTTCTGCCCCCCGGTGAAAACAGTGTGGTTAGATTCTGAGTTCCAGTGCTGCTGGCTGGAAGTAGAAGCAGGATGCAGGGACCGTGGGGGGCTCTCCCAACAAGGGCTGAGGAGCTGGACTTGGGGGCGGCAGAGCTGGGGCAGGAAGCAGCCGCCTGGTGTCCCTCGTCACTCCTGCATGCGTTCCGACGCTGCTCGCTCGCTCACTTACAGGCATTGCGGTCGACCCTCGCCACCTCTCCCTGGTGGCCGACTACATGTGCTTCGAGGGTGTGTACAAGCCCCTGAATCGCTTCGGGATCCGGTCAAACTCCTCTCCTCTGCAGCAGATGACTTTCGAGACAAGCTTCCAGTTTCTGAAGCAGGCCACCATGATGGGTCAGTGCTGGCCGTGCCCAGGCCTTCCCACCGCGCGCCCTGCCCAGCCCCCGGGCTCCTCCCCACGGTGCCTCATATGGCAGTGCCGCCGTGGCAGCTGGGGGGGGGGCAGCAGATGGGTAATCTGCTTCCTGCAGCCTCAGCCTCAGACACGCAGAACCAGCCCATCCCACCGTGGTGTTGAACACCCCCCCCCCAAGTCCCTTCTCATCCCCCTCAACCATGTGACGTGCACCCTTGTGTCTCCCACAGGATCCCATGACGAGCTGAGGTCCCCTTCAGCCTGCCTTGTGGTCGGGAAGGTCGTCAAGGGCGGCACGGGCCTATTCGAACTCAAGCAGCCCCTGAGATAGCCACCGCCATGGCCCCGTCTGCTCGGCCTGCAGGACCCGGGTGTGGACGCCGCCAGCCTGGCCTCAGCTCCAGAGGACCAGGAGACATGAACCATGGGCACTTCCAAATGACAGGGCAGAGCACGGCAGTGACTGGGCTCCTCTGGCCTGGGCTGGCTTCCCCAGGAAGTGACGGCATTGCTCATCTCTGCCCCTCGTGTCTCAGGATTATTAACAAGGATCTCCAAGTCCCCTCCGAGGTGGCCGGGGCTTCCCCTGTGCTGCAAATTTTGTCTCTGTGGCAAAATCGCGAAGGCCTGGGGCTGTTCACCGGGAAGAAGAAAGGGAGCAATGCTTCACTGTTGGGGACCCCTCGCACCCCAGCGGAGGGAAGCAAGGCCTCATTGCTGTGAGCAGCCGGTGCTGGCAGCAGGCTTCCGGGGGCTCCTGATGAGGAGGATGGCACACAGCCTGCTGTCCTGCGGCCTGTTCGTCCCAACCGCATCTGTCCCTGGAGCAGAGTCCCCACCCAAGGCTTCTCTCCTGAGCTGCGTGTGTGATGGCACAACCCTCCACCTCCCCAGTTTCTGGCCCTGGGGCAGGGTCCTGGCCCTGCTGCCCTGTGCCTGAGCTTCCCTGCCCCTGGAGGCTCTTTCGAGGGGCCCCAGCAGCTCACTGCCACCCAGAAAACCCTGGGCACCACTGGGACCGCTGCGTGCCTGACTGCCCCTGGCTCTGCCCGCAGTTCAGTATCAAGGTCTGTGTTCCTCCCCATAAGCCCTACCCTGTGTGGGGTGGCCAGGGCTCCCTGCACCAGTTGCCCCGGCGTGGACAGAAAAGCAGAGAAGACTTGTACAGAGGCTCTGTGAAGCCAGAGGCTGCTGCTGTTTCTGTCTGATGTTACTCCTGCTCAGGCTTAGTGATAAACACTGCTGGAGCTAACTGCTGAGAGTCAGGACTTGGGTTTTGTTAGCTTTTTCCCCCTGGTTTGCAGTTTCTGCCATCCCGTTTCCCATGGTGGCTACACCATTTACTTTCCTACCAACAGTGCACGAGGACTCGGATTCCTCTCTCCTGGGTCTTTTTTCTTTTTTTTCTCCCACAATAGCCATCCTAATGGGTATGAAGCGGTACCTTGTGGTTTGATTGGGGCTGTGTTTTAATTGCGTGTTAGGGCCCTTACATAGCCTGCACCTGCCGAGACTCAGGAACCACTTGGCCATTGCTTACCAATCTTAATGTTTTTGAGTTTGCAATTGAGTTGGGTTCTCTGAGAGTCTGGAAACAGGAAAGTCTGGCCCTTAAAGTCTGCGCTTAGGTGGATTTATCCATCAGTGAGTCGCCCTCTTTGGAGAGGCAGTCCCATCCTGGAGGTAACAGGCTGGACCTACTGCCAGCCTCTCGATCCCGGTGCAATCTTACTTGAACCTCAGTCACCAGAACAGCTGCATTGAGCAACATCAGATGTTCCCGTGCCATCCACCACCACCCACTTTTTCCCAAGTCTGCTCAGAACAGGGGCTGTGCTTGAGCCCCTGCCACCCATAGGGGTGACATGGATGGGATTCTGGGCTCTGTTGCAGCCATTTGGGGAGTGAACCAGCAGATGGAAGGTCTCACTCTGACTCCCCCCTCTGTGTCACTCTGCCTTTCCGATAAATAAATCTTAAAAAAACAGAGGCTGTTAGTTCTGCAGATTGCAACCACCTGGGAAGCCTCCCAAAGGCTGGTTCCAGGGCCTCGCCCAGATGTTCTGATTAATTAACCGATTGATCTGGTTGTTGATTAAATCGGAGGAGTCATTAAAGCTCTCAGGAGAGTCGAGTGTGAAGTGGGAATCCACGGTCATGGTCACTTCCTATGTGGGGATTTCTCAGGTGGTGAGTCACCGGCCCTAGGTTTCTGCAGTAGGACTCTGAGCCGTGTGTGTGCACACCTGTGCGGCAAAGCTCTCATGGCGCCTCGTAGATTTGCAATTGCCAATTAATGAGCCTGAGTCTCTCTTCCTATATTTATTTTTTCATTTATTCTGACTTGCACTGCTGAGATTTGCCCGTTTTTCTATTAGGGTGTTTCTGTTGCGTGTATTGTTTTAGGTTTTAATTTTTTTTTTAATTGATTTTCCTTTTATTTGGAAACCAGAGGAATAGAGATAGCCCGTCTACTGGTTCACTTCCAAATGCACACAACAGCCAGGCCTGGGCCAGGCTGAAGCCAGGAGCCTGGAACTCAGGATCTCCCTCGTGGAAGTGCTTGAGTAATCTTGCCTCGCAAGGTACGCAAGAAAAGGAAGCTGCATCAGAACTGGAGTAGCCGGAACTCAAACAAGGTCTTCCAATAAGAGATGTGGGTGTGCCAAGCGGAACCGTTTTTTTTTTTTTTAAGATTTCATTTATTTGAGACACAGAATTACAGAAAAAGGGAAAAATGGAGAGGTCTTCCATCCCCTGGTTCACTCCCCAAATGGCTCCAATGGCTGGAGCTGAGCCGATCTGAAGCCAGGAGCTTCTGGTTCTCCCACGCAGGGGCAGGGGCCCAAGGACTTGAGGCATCTTCTACTGCTTTCCCAGGCAGAGACTGCTTTTCCCGTAGCAGAGAGCTTCATCAGAAGAGGAGTAGCCTGGGCATGAACCAACACCCACAGCGCCACTCCCAAGCAGCAACTTAACTTCTACACTAAACACCAGCCCCTGTTGTTGATTTTTATAAATCATTATTTGTTACAGATAACCTTTTATCATCTGCATTGAATAGAACAATCCCATCTTAGCTGTGGTTTCCCGTTCTGTGGCTTTAGTTACCCACAATCAACCAAGGAAACCTCCAACCAGCCGAAGGAACCTCCAAAAGTCTGAAAATATGGGGCTGAAAGATAAGTTTATTGGAGCCGGTGCTTTGTTGTAGTGGGTAAAGCTGCCACCTGCAGTGCTGGCATCCCATATGGGTGCTGGTTTGAGTCCCAGCTGCTCCACTTCCATCCAGCTCTCTGGTATGGCCTGGAAAGCAGCAGAAGATGGCCCAAGTGTTGGGCCCCTGCACCCACATGGGAGACCCGGAATAAGCTCCTGGTTACTAGCTTCTGGCTTCAGATCAGCTCAGTTCCTACTGTTGCAGCCATTTAGAGAGTGAACCAGCAGATGGAAGACCTCTCTCACTGCCTTTGCTTTTCTGTAACTCTGCCTTTCAAATAAATAAATAAATCTTTAAAAAAAAAAAGATAAACTTATTTTGGGGCAAAATATCTTTGAAATCCATGCATAATTTTTTCAGAGTTGACAATTCTCAGGAAGGTTTTGAATACCTCTCATGTGCCAGTGTGTCCAGATGTACCGGAGGGACCATGGTACAAGCCCCAGCAGTCAGGAACAAGATGGAGCCAGCTCTGCCCTTCTTCGTGGCTCCTGCTGGGCTCGGTTGCAAGAACAGATGCCCACCTTTGCCTGGAGCTTGCCACAGGCAGCTGCAGGCCCAAGTGTTTGACACCTGTTAATGTATCCAGTCCTCCCCAGATGCCAGTGAGGGGGATGTGGTTGCACAGTTGCTCCCTGCCTCTTACAGTAGCTTGCTCAAGGGCATCACCAGAGTTTGGGATCTTAGTCCCCTCCCTGTGCCCACCCCTTTGCTTGGACAGACCCAGAGGAAGGGAGTTCCATAGTCAGGGGCTGCCCTGTGTGGAGTGGGGTGTCAGATGCCTCTCCAGCCCAGGAGCACCCTCTGCCCCTGGGAGGCACAGACAGGACTGCTGGGGGTGGGGGGGCTGCCCGTCTCCTGGTTGGGGAGCTGGAACCAATATAATGACCGGCAGTCACACCGAGGAACCGAGAACCCCAAATCCAGGTACAGGTGGAATCAGAAGAGTCTGAGAAAATACTGTGAGGACCGGAATGCAGGTGGGTTAACACAGAGGAATCTATAGACCAGGGGCCTCCGCGGTGGAGGGGACCTGGGTGTGAATCACGTGTGTGGCCCCACTTCACAGAGGACAAGGAGGGGGACGGATACCCTAGGGTTGGCGCAAATCCTGATGAGGGCGTCAGGTCTGGGAGTTCCCTAGAGCTCTCCCCAGGAAGCTTCCTGCTGCCACCATGAGTTGCTGAGTGGTGGACTTAGGGTGGCCAGCTTTGTCCCTGAAAGGGGCCCCTGAGGGGTGAGACCTGGGTCAGAGAGGGAGGGCAAGGGAGGCCACAGGAGTCCTTGGGGAGGGGGAGTCTCTGGGAAGGTGAACCCGAGGATCTTAGTGAGAGGCCCAGCCCTGCCTTGGAAGGCACCCTTGGGTGGCCAGCCAGAGTGCTCTTCCCACTCCAGCATTCTGCCCCTGGACAAAGCTTGGCCGGGCTTTGCCTGGGTTCTCACAGGGCCTGGTAGGCTACCCAGGCCCCTCACATGGAACACCATGTGGCCCCTGCACCTCCCACAAATAGGCTGCCTGACTCAGATGCCTCCATGTCTGGTCACACTGTAGGGCGGGGGCCTGGGTGGCCACCAACCCTCTGGCAGGCCCAGCTTTAGACTTTGGGGATTGGGGCGGGGGACTGTCTTTCATTCTCTGTCGTCCCAGTTGAAAGTGCTCCATGAGTCAGTCAGTGGAGAGTATGGCAGGGCTCAGGCCCACGAGACCAGAGCAGGAGCAGATTGTTACAGCTGCTTTGGACAGGGCAGGCGGTACCAGCTCCCAGCCTGGACGAGGGAGCAAGGCCTTCCTGAAACAGGTGCACAAGGGGTGTTGTCTCTTCACTCGTGGGCGGTATTTCACTCATCCCTGCTGGGAGAGAAGGGAGCAGAGCCCAGTGCTCAACCAGGGCCCGGCTTCTGGCGCATCTCCCAGGGCTGGAGGAAGGTCGGGAGAAGCCTGGGGTCATTTCTCCACCGCTTTGCCAGCGTCTTCCTGGAGGCCCGCCGAGCCCTGGTGTCCCTGCGAGGGACGTCCGGGAGAAGAGGAGCGCTTCCCTGGCCTGCCCTGGGCCATCAGAGGTGCCCTGGGAAGCAGACAGGGCTCTACCCACAAGGCCAGCCTGTTCCCTGACAAGGCCAGTCCTCCAAGAAGGACCCTGGGCTGCTCACCCCCCACCAGTCTTCTTACTCCCCCACAAAGCTGTTTAGTACTCAACTGCTCCATAAAAATTGAGCTTTTTCACATCTGTTTTCTGCCCATCATGGGTCTTCACTTGTGGGCGCCCAGGGCTGTGCAGCCTGCACGGGGATGAAGGCAGAGGCAGCTTTCTGAAATCTCACCCCGTGCTGGGCAGCCCTTCCGCCCACCCTGCCTTCCTTACAAACAAAACTGCACTTTCAACCAGGCTGCAATATGCCCATGCACAGTTGGCCTAAGCCGATCAAAGAAAAGCCAATTCCTTTGCTCTGGATTGGCCACTGACCTATGAATAGCTCCTGGGAAAAAACATTGTTCATAGCTGCAGGGGAAGGCCAGCTTTCTCCTCCCTTTCCTGCTGTGCGCGTCTCCTGCACGGTGTACAGCTGGGGCCATCTTGCTGCCCTTGAGCAGACCAGAGGTCAGCAGAGGGCCAACCAAGGGCCTTAGCATAGACGTTGTGTTGATTCTGCATAGTGCTTTAAAGCTACTATGTCCTCATTACTCAGCTGCACAAGGAAGACTTGTGCCTTTTACTATGTCCCTACATTTAAGGGCAACTGCATGGTCCTCTTCCAACCAGGAGAAGCACCTGGCTCCCGGCTTCGGACCAGCGCAGTGCACTGGCCGCAGCGGCCATTGGGGAGTGAACCAACAGAAAAGGAAGACCTTTCTCTCTGTCTCTCTCACTGGCCACTCTGCCTGTCAAAAATAAAAATAAAAAGTTATGTAAATGTGAGTGAGATCTATGAAGTCCAGGAAAGTCCAAAAGATCAAATACAATTTGTGACCTTATGTGAACAATTCGCTACAATATGCTATCTGGCATACGTTACTACAAGGTTGTAAGTCAAGAACCATTACCAGGAGAACTTTCACTACTTCAGGAAAGCCCTTTGCCCTTCTTAGTCAATAGACTTAGAGACTGAATTTTGTGATCAAAATTGGAAAAAAGGTATAGTTTTAATTTACAGTGTACAATAATGGGCATGTAAATATTTGCTGACTTTATCAACAAGTTGACCCAGGGTTTGTCTTCCTAAGGCACCTGTGTCAATAGGTTCCCTTCTGTTGAGGTCCTTCATTAACCATGGAGTGAGGCTTGCAGCCTTGAACTTGAATTAAACTTTTCTAGCCAGGGCTGAATTCAGGAATACGTGACTCATAATTTTCCGTTTCCACCAACTGCTGAGCCAACCTTGGCCTCTGTTATGTGATGGCATTAAACATCTTGCTCAGCCTAGCCATGTGGGTTTTCTGTTACTTACAGCCAAATGCATTCTTCACTACCACGGGGGCATCCCAGAAAGCACTTCCTGGGGACAAGTTTTCCCTGCTGGGTCTCCATCATAGATGCTCAGGCCCAATTCCCAGAAGATATGATTGATCCTTCCCTTGCCTCTGCCCTCCCAAGCTACTACCCACCTCCCAAATTATTTTGAATCAGTCCAGTTCTCTCTGTTCTTTGCTCATGGTGGTGTCCCAGTAGCTCTCTTTCTCATCTCTGCCACGGCCACTGCAGTAGGCTCCCAATTGGTATTGCTGCTTCTATACTCACCCTCCTTGAAGCAGCCAGAGTGAGCTGTGC